CCGCACCTCTGTGGAACAGCGACAAGTCGTGTTTTGCCGGGATGTTTACTGTGTCGGATATTATTCATCTCATTCAATATTATTACAAGTCGTCGACTTATGACAGTGCTGCTGCAGATGTGGAGACCTTACGTCTAGAGTCTCTCCGAGGTGAGTTGTGCGTGTGTTATGATTATCGCTAAGGTATTGATACTGCCTCTAGAGATCGAGAAGGAACTCGGCGTGGAACCTCCACCACTTCTTCGCGAATATCCCGCAGCCACTCTATACGACGCAGCTAAGCTGCTTATCCAAACCCATGCACGTCGTGTACCGCTTCTCGACCATGATACAGAAACAGGGCACGAAGTCATAGTCTCCGTACTCACGCAATATCGTCTTTTAAAGTTCATATCAATTAATGTGCGTGCTTTCGGTATGAATACTGCTCTCGGCTAACCTTCTTATACAGTGTGGCAAAGAGATCTCACAATTGCATCTCCCCCTTCGCAAACTCAAAATCGGCACATATGTCTCTAGTTTCCCTCCATCCGCCGAAGGAAGCCCAGATGGGAATCCGTTCTATCCTATCGCGACAGCCACGCTGGATACGCCTGTTTTCGACATCGTGCACATGTTTTCCGAAAGGGGTATTTCTGCCGTACCAATTATCGATGAGAATGGGATTGTAGTGAATCTCTACGAGACTGTGGATGTGATCGTGGGTTGATTCCGTCGCTAAAATTCGCAATGTTTGTTAACATTATCTCATAGACTCTTGTACGACTGGGAGCATACCAAGCACTGGACTTGACAATTTCCGAGGCCTTGACACAACGTTCGCCGGATTTCCCTGGTGTGGTGGTCTGTACAGCGTCGGATTCTCTTGGGACGTTAATGCAACTCATCAAGAAACGTCGTGTCCACCGACTAGTTGTGGTTGAAGGCGATGTGCGTATTTTCCTTTTTGTATTTTCGCGCAAAGGACTTGCTAAAAGCTGTACATTTGTAGGAAGAGGAACGGAAAGGAGGGAAGAAGGGCCGACTACTAGGAATCATCAGCCTCAGCGACGTGTTGCGATATCTCGTCGGCGAAATAACCATTGGAGAAGGCATAGAACCCTCGGAAACCCAAGTCAGCACATCAGCACCTTCGTTTGTATCTATACCCGCCGCAGTTGAGGAAGCCTCTCCCCCACCACCAGAAGAAAATATCCCTCAAGCTGCGGAAGACAGCACTCCTCGACCCACGGACAAGGTGCCCCCCACAGAATGAACAACGTTTTGTTGCAGTATCACTACGACGCCTCCATTTGCAAGGGTGTGTATCTCTAGCGTTCCTTTCGGTGATTTTCTGTTCGATACCATTTGTAACCGTATAATGTCCATTACTCGGCGTTGATCCTCATTGATCTTTAACACATCGCCACATTCCCCGCTGCTGTTCGTCTATCTACGTTCAGGTTATCATTTGCACGTCTTACTTGCTTGCTGCTGCTTTTGTTGCTCGTCGCTTATATGTGCATTTGCTTGAATATAGAATCCACCTACTAGACGCGAGTCCGTGCGTTTGTTTGATCCTAGTCGAGATGGCTATCGCGGCTGACTAGTTCGTCAGCTCGATCTCAGACGTGCGCACGACGGACATGCTAGAGCCCAGCCTCGCAATGCAAACAGCGGTCAGCGTGCAAGCCTCAATCCTCTGTGCTCTTTCGTATCCGATAGCCGACTCTCTCAAGCACATTCCTTAGGACAAACTCCAGTCATTCCTTCCGCTTACAATATCACTTCACGCAGGCAGCTGCTCATCATGCCCATCCTTGCACGCACCCAGGAGAGCTGCCGAGATGGTTATCCCTTCTGCAACTCAGTCCCTATCGGTCCGGGCCCCGCGCTGAACGCAGCCAGCGCAAAAGGGCAAGCAGCATACGCTGACATTGACCCCAATGCCAACACCGGTTCCTCGTTGCAAGGCATACCCCTCCCAGATCCTAGCGAACGCAACCCGAATGCAGCACTGAGCAGATACATCTCCGCCAACAGACCCGAAGTTGTTCTTGGAGTCCTGCTTGTGTTTATTATCGGCGTCATCGCCTTGGTGTGTTGGGTCAGGTTCGATGAGAAGGCGAGGAAGAAAGTCCAAAAGTATTGGGCTGTATTGAAGGTGCGGCTGGCGAATATCACGAAGAAACGGAGCGACGCACCTCGGTTACCGACTTCAGGACCGCCCTCGCCTACAGCACAGTCAGACTTGACCAGTACTAGTGCTCAAACGAACCCCATGAAGTTATCAGCGAACGGGAGGCCGACGCTTGACCGGGCACCGAGTGGTAGTCAGCTCTCTGTCATGAAGACGAACGAAATCGCCGCGCTACCTATTTTGTTGTCACGGCCTTGACTGTACGCTTGCTTTGTCGAACCTGCCATCATTTGGTGTTCGCGAACATGAGACCTGATCGATTACATATATACCTTCAATGTCTATACTTGAATGGGCCTGCGACTGAAGATAAGAAGACTCCAATGAAATAGTTTGCAATAAGTGGATCAGAGGTTACAGTTTGAAAACAATACAAAGCTTGCCCAAGGCCGTGCTTGTGAATACCAGCGTCCATGAAATGTGGGAATGGGGAGAGTGTGCTTGCTAGATACCAGTGCTCCTGAAAGATGGGTAGAAGCAGTATATATGAATACATACAACAGGGAAACAAAAGCAAATCACCAAAAGACAACATAAAAGAATTATCTACCAACTTCAGTTTTGCTATGTCCGCCTTTCCCGACGACTTCGCCGTCTGTCTGAACCAGATCGGGTACTGCTCAGAGAGGGTGCAATCATGTTGGACGGCAATGTGCCTGTCTCTAAAGCAGCCGCGATAACCTCTGCTGGAAGGTCTAGCTGCACACCATCCGAGTATGCGTACGCATCTAGTGGAGAGTATGCTGGAGGGGCGCGTTCTGGTATTGGAGAAGGTGCGCCCGACACTGTTCTGGAACCTGTACCAGACTGTAAGGCTTGCAAGCTGATATCGCGAATATCCGGAGTAGGTGGGTCACCAGCGATGGGTGACTCTGGTGGAGGATGTACGTGAATAGCGAGCTCTGAACCTGAATATGAAGAGCGCGAGCCCGTACGCGAATGAGCGAAGGTGAATGGTTGCCGGCGAGGGACGTCAAATTGATTCGCACCTGCCGCCGAAGTTTGCGGACTCCTCGTGCTCGTCCTAGCGGGAGGAGAAGGCGACTGTGACGAGGAACTGTCACGTGGTGATGAACCAAGTTCCTCTTCCTCTTCCTCACCTGTGCGCTGTGTAGGCGATGGCGGAATGTTCGCATTGGGAGCCGTGTGGAACGGTAGATCAGTAGGTGAGATATATCGTCGACCAGTTGAAGGTCCCGGGACGGTGATGGCGCCAGTGCCTTCTATTTCTTCCTCAATAGGGGTGATCGGTGGGGGTGGTGTCGCTGGTGGGGAGGGCGAATTTACCGGGCTAGTAGCTAGGGGGGACGAAGCGATAGGTGTAGATGACGCGAGCCCTGTACGAGCAGCACGCCGTGAACGATGCGAACGACGTGAGCGAGAAGAGGCACCTGCAGGTGAACCGACAGTGATGGGAATGACATCCCCGCCGGCTGCAAGCAAAATACTACCACGCTCGCTGCCATACGGAGGAGGCGGAGCCAATGTTCCTGAACTGGGCGCCAATCCCCATTTCTTGACATTCGCCTCGATGAAAACAAACCCAGATTGACCAAAGTTGACGTGAACACTGCACGGCCCATCTGCACCCACAGTTGGAAACAGATTGTAACTGTTGAATCCAACATATGCATCCTCCATCTTGCGGCCGTTCTTGGTGAAGAAGACGGTGCCTGTCCTCGGACGACACCCAACTCCAAGCACATCACCCTCCTTGAGAGCCAGCCCACAGGATACTGCAGTAAACGGCCAGTTGTGAGATTTGTCTCCGTTCGAATGATAACCGACTGAAAAGCGACACAGGCCTGGGAGACGGAACGATGGGTATGGTTTTGTCGTCAGCCCCACGGCAACGTTGGTGGTCGTGGGAAGGTCGAACATCTTGACCTCCCAGTAATAGACCTCGTTGAGCTTTGGCAACGGTAGGTTGGACTGGACAGATGTAGTGGACGAAGGATCTGGAAGAAAGGTGATTTCTGTACGTGCGTGAACCAAGAGGGACGACAGAGCTTCAAAGTCTGGCTCAAATGACCAGGCAGATACACCCTTCTCTTGTATGGAGAGGAACTGGGAGAGCGTGATATCTGTGGGCTGAGAGTTTGGAGGATACTGCATTTGGTATTCTATGCACAACCGGGTAAATGACTGTTAGTAGTACGACATGGTTTCGAATACTCACGTTTCGCCCGTTGATACATCCGCTGTTCGCCTTCTGGTACACTCTCGAGCCAGCGAGATTCCAGCGTTTCAAACCCTCCTTCACCCTCCACCAAGTCTTCTCTGCTCATGTCTATAGGCCCATCGTTGTCACGGAGCATGATCCCGCGCCGTCTGCGAAGAATTATAACGCATATGAGGAAGAGTAGGAGGAGAAACAGGAACGTGGAGAGCACGATAAGCAGTGGGAAGAGGATATAGAGGGCATCGCGAGTTGGTTGATTTCCAGGTTGAAGAACTTGAGGTGCCCTGTCTGAGGAGAACACATCGAGGGTATCTTGGACTACGCGTGCGCCGGAGGTAAAAACGGCTTTGCGATCCCATGAGCGTGTTGCGGCCTCTTGGCCCATCGGTGAAGAGTTCTGGTAAATTAGGGATGAGAGTGTAAGAATAAGAGAGCACTGTCAGTAGAAAGAGAGGGAAAGAGGACGAGGTGTGGCTGCCGTTGAAACGACTGGTGCCCAACGAAGCGGCTGGGAGGTGAGAGAAGCTGAACAAAGCGAGGCGCCGTGCTCAGCCACGGCGTCGGACCAACCCGAGGCGATTATCCAAGTAGGAAGGGGTATATCGGTATATAGTTTATTTTAAACTGCTAACATACAAGCCTTCGATAGCTCAGTTGGAAGAGCGCAAGACTGTAATGGTAAACGCCGAAAAGGCAATCTTGAGGTCGCTGGATCGATGCCGGCTCGAAGGAGTTTTTATAAAAGTAGTCTGCGCTAGATGTTTTTTTTTACTCGAACAAGGGAGCCGGGATACAACCTCCCGTTCGGAACGATGTCGCTGGTTCGATCCCGGCTCGAAGGATTTTTTTATTTTTGTATGTACATCTACCATTTCAGCCCAATTAAACCCAGGAAACGCAAAGAAAATGGGGAGGAAGGCGTGCAAGCGGGGGAGGAGGAGCGAAGGAGCTTCGGCGCTTGATAATCAGCAGCGAGTCAGAAGTCGATCGCCTTACCAGACCATTACGGATCGACTAGTAAGCCTCACGCACGTCTACGAACATCGAAAAAAAAAAAAACAATAACAGACACTGGTGTGTTTACAATGCTGTTCTATTGCGTTCTCTCTTATTTGATACAAATGAGCGTAGCCAAACCGCTTGCGCAGCATGGACCGTTACGTGTGTGTCTATAATATCAAGGCTCGAGACGCCTCGGGTCCCTAGGGAATAACGATGCTCTCCTAATGTTGTTCAACTTGAGGAACAACATTACTACACGCTCGAGTCCGATTCCTCCTCCTCCGTGCGGCGGGCATCCCATCCTGAACGCGTCAACATAAGACTGCATAGACTCTGGGTCGATACCTTTTTCCTTCATCTTCTCGATCAAGAGCGCGGGGTCGTGGATACGCTGGGCGCCGGAAAGAATTTCCTCACCTCGCATGAAGAAGTCGTAAGAGTTGGACAGGGTCTATAGCGGTTCGGGATGCAGATTTTCTGTTAGTGTCAAGGCAACTTCAATGGGGACGAGACTCACCGGGTCCTCAGGGTCGGGCATAGTGTAGAAAGGACGAAGCGCCATTGGGAACTTGTCAATGATGAAATAGTCAGTGTCATACTTGGCCTTCACGAGGGCTCCAAGTCGTTTCTCATTCTCCGTGCTGTGGTAAAGCAAGATGAGTAAGAGACTTTATGCTGGCCAATACGAAGAAAATTCACTCAATATCATCAAGGTTCTCCCTCGGTACTCCGTCCTCCACTAGCATATCGACAGCCTGCCTGAACGTGAGTCTGAGAGTACCTTCGGGACCTTCTCTCCACTTGAACTCGTCCGCGGGGAAAGCCTTCCTAACAACTTCGATCTCTTTCCTATACTTTTGCCTGAGGCCTGTGAACATATGCTTGAACAAGTTGTCGAGAGTTTCCATGACTTCGTGGTAATGCTCCTCAATCGCCATCTCGAGATCGAGTCCCATGAACTCCGTCATGTGTCGGTGAGTGAATGAATTCTCAGCACGGAAGACAGGTCCAATTTCATACACCCTCTCAAAATCGGCAGCGATAGCCATTTGCTTGGCTAGCTGAGGGGATTGGGCGAGGAAAGCGCTGCCTGCAAAAGACATTGGTAAGTGGTTGAAGGGGCGAGGTACAATTAAAATTACCCTTGAAGTAGCCGACCTTGAAAACAGATGCACCGGACTCTGTAGCAGCACCCTGAAGTTTGGGGGTGTGGATCTCAATGAATCCGAGGTTGTCCAAATGATCGCGGAAGAGGTGACAGATGGCAGACTGGAGCTTGAAGACGGCTTGGTTCGTTTGTGTCTGTGGAGTATATTCAGTAACATACTGAAATAAACTAGTAGTCACTCACTCGGAGATCAATCACTCGATTATTCAGACGCGTGTCGAGGAGTACACGCTTGTACTGGACTTCTTCAGTAGATGCTATTTCCGTCTCCGGTCGGTTCGCATCTTCTACAGTGAACGGAAGTCGTCCGTCGAGACCAGAAATGAGGAAGATCTACGGTATTTGTCGCTTTTGAGTCGCAATTCCAGCAGCCAAATAGAAAACTCACTTTGTTCACGTGCAGCTCAACATCGCCCACTGTAGCACTTTGGATGATCTCGGGGCTCTTCTTGACAGTAGCCTCCACGCGGACAATAGCTTCGGTTTGTAGACTTGCAGCCCACTTTACCATCTGTTTACTGACCGTTTCCGGCGTGACGATCAGCAATGCTTGAACAGAGTCGGTTTGCTGGCGGAGATTGAGGAACACCATTTTGTTGCCTTGCGCGCGAGATGCCTGCACACGAGCGCGGATAATCACATCCTGTCCGTCAAGATTCGAGTTTAAATCCGCGATCTTTGTATAGTGGTGGCAAGGGCGAGCCTGGGATTGGTTAAGGGGATCCTTGCCGTAGTAAGCTTCTGCATAGTCCTGTTACAGTCGATGCTGGTGTTCAAATGACTACACATTTTTGATACATGAGATGAGACTCACCACTTCGGCAGCTGCTTTCTGTGCCGCAAGTTCAGCCTGTTTCGCTGCCTTCTCGGCGGCCTTTTTTGCTTTATCTGCCTCCTTTGCACGCTTCTTCAGCTCATTTTTCGATGGGCCCTTCTCCCCTCCGTCCGCAGGCTGCTCTTCCGCAACGCTAGTAAATATGTTCAGACCAAAGACTGTGAATAGACTGAGACCACTTACGGCTCTACAGTTGGCTGTTTTGTCCCTTCTGCATCAGCCATTTTATTTAATGTATGTTTCTTCTTCTTCTCTTGACGGCTGGATGAGTGCTGGTTCAGAAAAGAATGAAAGTGTGTCGTGAAAGAGTCAGAAAGACTATCAGATCTGGCTCTAGCTGGTCCTGACTCTTAACCCAGATCTAGGTGTAAGCTCTAGGTTGTGTCCGGGCGGGCCGCCTGGCTAAACGGATCGACTCGGTTGATGGCACCGCTCTAACGCCTGTCCACGAGTCGGCGTTGCATGCTTACTTAAGTACATAAGTCATACTCGAAGCCGTCTCCTCCACGACCCCCATATTTCCTTACCCCTCATCTCCTGCGACGACGACAAAAAATGCAGGCCATTGCCCGCCCTCTCACCCGCGCATCACCCAAGGGTCTGCGCCAAGCTGCCGCTCTTTCTACCTGGTCTGCAGTACCTGCAGGTCCTCCGGATCCTATTCTCGGTGAGTTTCACCACATATCCACCGATGCGAATGTATTGCCACGGGCAGAGGCTGTAGAACCCATGACCTGGCTGTTGAATACACTCCTCGTAATACGATTCTTCCCGAGCTTCTTCACGTTCCCACTCATACTTGGGAAGTTGTACTGACTAGGGGAGTCTGCGAATAGGCGTCACCGAAGCCTTCAAGGCCGACAAGGATTCTCGCAAGATAAACTTGGGTGTTGGTGCCTACCGTGATGAGAACGGCAAGCCATACGTGCTCAATGCCGTCAAGAAGGCGGAGGAAATCCTCAGAACCTCTAACCCAGACAAGGAGTACCTTCCCATCACTGGCCTTCCAGAATTCACCAAGGCTGCTATAAAGTTAGCATACGGCGCCGAAAGCGCCCCTCTGAACGAGAACTCCGTGCGTGTTTCAATCATTCTCTCTCGTTCCTACTTTATTAACACACGAATCAATCGTGTAGATTGCTGTGACTCAGTCCATCTCCGGAACTGGTGCCCTTCGTATTGGTGGTGCTTTCTTAGGTCGTTTCTTTCCCAGTGCGAAGACCATCTACATTCCCACGCCTTCATGGGGTAATCACACTCCCATCTTCCGTGACTCTGGTCTGGAGGTCAAGCAATACCGCTACTTCGACAAGAAGACAGTGGGACTTGACTTCGATGGACTAAAAGAGGACTTGAAGGTATACTTAGATTCAAGTGGGCCCGTAACATATACTCACAAAACGCATTTCAGAACATCCCTGAGAAATCTATTGTTCTTCTCCATGCTTGTGCCCACAACCCCACCGGTGTTGACCCTACTCCCGAACAGTGGAAGGTGATTTCTAACATCATCAAGGAGAAGCAGGCCTTCCCCTTCTTCGATATGGCCTATCAGGGCTTCGCCTCGGGCGATACCACTCGTGATGCATTTGCTGTTCGTTATTTCGTTGAGCAGGGCCACCAGGTTGCTCTCTCGCAGTCATTCGCCAAGAACATGGGTCTCTATGGTGAGCGTGTCGGTGCGTTTTCGCTCGTGACCGCCGACCCTGAGGAGAAATCACGTGTGGAGTCACAACTGAAGATTGTTGTACGACCAATGTACTCTAACCCTCCTGTTCACGGTGCACGCATCGCTTCTACCATCTTGAACACGCCTGAGCTCAACAAGGAGTGGGAGGGAGAGGTTAAGCACATGGCTGACCGAATTATCAGCATGCGTGAGAGGCTCTACAATAATCTTGTCGCTCAAGGTACTCCTGGCGAATGGGGTCACATCAAGAGCCAGATCGGCATGTTTAGGTTGGTGGTTTATCGACTCTTGAGCAACAAACGCTGATCATGTGGGTTATCATCAGCTTCACCGGTCTCACCACTCCTCAGACAAAGACATTGGCTGAGAAGGCGCATATTTACATGACCGCTGACGGACGTATCTCGATGGCTGGTCTCAATGGTCACAACATCGACTACTTTTCGGAGAGTGTCAGCAAGGTTGTCAAGGGTAATCTCTAGGCGATATCAAGACCGCTGTCGTTCTCCAGGTGCTATGGTGATAAACATGATGGTGGACATCTAGAGTTAGTCTCGTTAGATGGTTTATTCCAATCATTAATGCGCATAATCAATTCGTCATCGCACTAGTAGCTGACATGCTCGGAAGAAAAGCTTGAAATTCTGCAAAGTGAAGCATTTTCTCCATGCCATGTCTCCATACCATGTCTTGACCATGCGTATAACCGTGCATGAGCTAATTCGATGCAGCGTCGCTAGTACGACATATAATAGGTAGGACCCTTAGACTAGCTAGTCCAGCCGAAGCTGATTCCAAAATAGGTAGGTGTCAATGTACGGCCTAACTCTTCGCCAGTGTATAAAAATGGGCGATCGCTGGGGACGACATCAGGTCTTCGACTCGCACACCCTCTCTGCCGACGTCGCCCACCGTCTCTCTCCTCTCGACCACCACCACGCCCCCATGTCGAGCTCGCCATTCCGCTGGCGGCGAGCATCCCGCAAGTCGTCGATCCCATTCTTTCCAGGCGCGTGGCCAAACAACTCAGCCCATGA